GGGGGGGCCCCATTTTCCCCCGGAAATTTTTGATAATTTAACCTTCTGAAATGGCATTTCCGGAGTTTTTCTAGAAGATTTCAAAGGAATAATCAGACACAACGTTTTCTTCAATGACAAAGTTTTAGCCCCGCTGGTGATACGAATCAGTCCACCTATTAAAGAAAAATCTTGGACCTTTCAAAATTAGTAGTGGACCAGAAAGTGGACCTTTGAGCCTTGTGGGGGAGGGGGGGGGGTCGTCAGAATATATAATAATACTAGAAAGGTAACATTTGCAAAGCAAATGCATAATGTTTACCATTGCACATGGTCTGCTCTGTTAGTTCTCGCTCACATACATTAATATATATGTGGTCAGATAGGAGTCTAAATGACTCCTACTATAAAATTGCAACATTATGTAACCCAACACCAGTTACCATGGTGACAGACGTCAACAAATCAGGTCATTGGTCAGGTCAGAGGTTAGCGTTTGGAACAGAAGAAGAAGAAGAAGAAACGTAGCAAAAACAATATGTTTTCCTTTCGGTAAACATAAATATAATATTCAGGTTACGATATCTCTATTGAGACTAGTCTAATGCAGGAAAGACAGTGTTTCGTATGAGCTTTGTGGTGCATCGTTTTTTGTGTGACCTTTGCCTGAGCCGTTTTTCCCAAACCCGGAAGTGACACGGAGTTTCGAACTATGTTTGTCCACGGGGTACAACCTACGTCACGGGATGGCCAGACACATTCGGTGGTGGGAAGGATCTATCAGCCGCGACGCGCAGACCCTTTCGACGCGGGGCGGAGAAATCAGCCGCCCGCGCGGACCAATCAGCCGCATCGCGCAGACCAATTCGACGTCACGCGGACCTATCAGCCGCGCGCGCGGATATTTCGGCCGTGGGACGGCGCTATCAGGTGTCTCCCAGCTGCTCCCAGAGACCGCTGAAACACACACAGCAAGGTAGGTCCTCCACAATTTCCTCTTCTGGCGTTATATAGAGACAGCGACTGCTTTTCTAACTAGGCCTATCAGGTGGCGGACTATCCAAGGGTCATCCGAAGCCAGAAATAATCGGCAGGTCTTATAATTAAATCGAGATATAGGGAGCACAGTCCAACATCGGCGACACATCACGTCCATATTATCAAGGTAAACAAACGCCAAACACGGCATTTTGGGGCCATTAGAAGTAAATAAATCCGCAGATACGACTTGTTGGCTGTAATTGGGTGTCCAGAACAGCATAACTGTACTCTGGAACCGATGTATTGGGCCTGCAGTGTGAAAACGTGAGGTGGAAGTGATACCGCTATAACGCCCCCCTCCCCCATTTTAGTCATTAGGCCTTTACATATATGATATGTTAGTACCATACTAAGCTCCAACAGGCAATAGTGTCTTTGTCGTATCGGTTGATCTTGGCAATATGCAGTAAATACCTTCTGTCATTGTATTTGTAGGCATTACCTGTATGATTCAACGAACATGTCATATATATTTCTGTTTTTTAACTGGATCTTTGCATGGTTGTTCATTATACACATAGGAAATACACAACTATGCGGCCAGTTTGATGTGTCACTGCAAATGATACACGCTGACGGGTCTGTCATATCAATTACAGAGATGCCTCGTCGACTAAGGCTAACACTCTACCCACGTAAGAGGTGTCGGCGCAAAGGCACCTTGAAGGCAGACAAAGAATCAGATATTGGAGATGGATGGGAGACAGAGGAAGAAGATGTCAGCACTGCAGTCCCTGCAAGTCCTTTCCCCAGACAGTAAGAGATCACGTCTTTCCCCATGGTCGACTCCACGCAGGAAAGGACAACGAGGGACCAAGCACCCATCTAGCCCTGTGTCGCCTTACCTACAGAGCAGGGTAAGGAAAAAGATCCGGTTTGGTACTCCAGTGACGTCTCGTGTCATGGGCAGAACACTGTCACCATGGAAACTCAAGGAACCTTCAGGAACAAAAGAGGAGCAAACTCAAACATCTGCTGCAGATGTTCTGGACCTTGATGAAGACTCTGCATCCTTGGTTCACAATGCTATCCAGGAGATGATAGAGTTACTCCCAAAGGTCATGGTAGAGCTAAAATGCACAGATCCCAGTAAACAAGACGTCCTGCTCCGTTTTGTCGACTAGTTGAAGCTGGTGATTTTCCTTTGGACAACATCTGCTTCCATCTTTGGTGCGAAGTGGTAGACTGGTACGGCTTGGACACAAGCTCGCAAATGAAATATTCTCCTGACACCAAGTGCCTCTGGAAGTTAGGCTGGCGACTGTTTGGTGGTAGATTTCTACGACTTATGAGTGGAAGTAGGGGTATAGGGCAGGTGGTGTCAGGAGAGGCCAGTGCTGGACTCTGCCCAACAAGATTATCATCAATCAACTTTGCTGTTCCTAGTCAACAAATTCTGTCCGACTTCCAACCATATNGAGAAGTTGAAGAAAAGATGGTACATCTGGGATTTGCCAAGGAAGCATGCTTTGTCAGACATATCAGGGAAGGCTTGATTGTAGCACATGATGATCCTGGTATTTCTTCTAGTAGACAGAGCAAAGATGCGATTCAGATTAAGGGCAT